TGAACGCCCCCACCGCCCCACCCCCCTGGCTACGCGCCTGCAGGACATAACTGAAGTGTGCAATATTGCAACAGGGTATACTTTTTAGTGCAGTATATATATATTGGGACAGGGTGTATTTTAGGGTGCAAAGTGGTTTGCGACAGGGTCAGGTTTTCAAGGTCCTGGAAGCACACCCTACCCAGTTCCGAGGCCAGTGCCCCCCCCTCCCCGGGTTTTGCGCACACATTACAGAACTAACACGTGGCTCGTCCACCCTGACAAAGTGGTTCAACGAAAACGTCATGCAAGCTCCAACCCTAAAAAATTCAGTGCATGATCCTATTACCCTGAAGACATTGAACATAATATCGATGACTACACACCAGATGTCACACTATACGGCTTGGTTTGGATATTGACAGCCGCCTAACTTTCGACAAACGTTCACATCAGGAACATTTGCCTCAGGGCATCACGCCAGCTAAATGCTCTAAAACGCGTCTGAAAATACTTAGATTACAAATCCAGACTTCAAATATACAAATCCTGCTGCCTCAGCAATTTCAATTAGACACTGCCCCGCCGTTTGGCACTGCACCACACCGGAAAATATTAATAAACTCGAACAAATACAGAGAAGGGCACTTAGCTTTGTCGTTGCGTCTTCTGTTTAGTAATGCGGCTGTAACATGTGTTTTACAAATGTTGCATGAATTAGTCAGCGAGGCTAGGCTGGGGGTTGTTTTAGTGGTAGTCTATGTAGACAGAGCGTCGCGCATTTTGTGCGGCTAGATTGATGTTATAGGGAGAATGATAAACGTGTTTTAGGTCGGGCGTTTCTAGGGTCATTGTGAAGAGGTAGGACGCGGTCTGAGAGAACGGGTAACATGTGCGCTCAGGATGTAGGGGTTTTGGGGGTAATATATAGAAGGTTAGGAGAGATTGAGGAGGAGATAGAAGAGAGATATAGGAGTCGGGAGTCTGGTTGTGGTCGCGGGAGTAAATACACGCGTTTACGCGCGTTTCTTTGGCTTTTTGTGCAAGGACTTGACTTGGTTGGAGGCTGGCGTTCGAATGGCGTGTACCGTGCAGACCTGTATCAGTTGTAAACAATATATCTTTTTACGTGAACACAAAATTTATACTTCTTCTTGATTATTTTAGTCTAAATTATTTTATTCAAACCTTTTTGACCAGTGACCAGAGCCAGTGACAGTCCAAAAACCTGGGTATTCCTTTGCGGACGCAACGTAAGGTACTCCACTATGCCGATCTACGGTTTATACTACGCAAGGAAGATGGAGAAGGAAGAAGACACAGGAGGAGTCGCTGGGTACACCGCTGGCAAGAAAACTGGTGAAAGCGAAACGGAGAGCGGACGAGAGAGCAAGAGAGACGGAGGAAGAGAGAGAGAAAGAGAGAGAGAGAGAGAGAGAGAGAGAGAGAGAGAGAGAGAGACGGGAACAACAGCAAGAGTAGGAGAAACGAAGATCGACGGAGAGCGAAAGAGAGAGACGAAGAATAACGGAGAGCAAGAGAGAGAGAGAGAGAGAGAGAGAGAGAGAGAGAGACGAAGAATGACGGAGAGCGAGAGAGAGAGGGACGGAAAGAGCGAGACGCGGGAGAGAAAACGGTGGATACACGTACACGGCGTAGGAACTACTGTGAGTAAGTCAGCGTGAAAGAAGGAAGGGCCGGTGTTGTATTCGTGTTACTACGAGGGCAAGTCCGAGTCTCGACCTGTGTGTGAGAGAGAGAAGATAGCAGAACAGAGAAGGCAAGGCTGACAGAGCAGAGACAGATGACGTGAAAGATAAATTGCGAACTGTAATGGCTAAAAAAAAATCCAGGGAATTCTAGAATTTAATTGGTAGAAAGCTTTAATCTCGTGCCGTCGAAACTGGACGTGAAAGTGTGACATCATCTGGAATGTGTATTTTTATCTGTTTTTTCTTTGTTTTATGTACGCGGTATTTTTTTCTATTGTAGATGCTTGTGACCGTTTGTTTTTGTGTGGGAAAATCTTTGGTGTAAAACTTTGTCTAAAAATGTGTGAACGTTTTCTTGAATTTGTCGTAACGGTACGTTTACACTATATTGTCAGATTGCTAAACACATTTTTCAATTAGAGTTTGATAGGCCTAAAACATTTAATCGAAAATATGAAATCAGTTTTGCGTTTTTTTTTTCCTGTATGATGTGTGGAAGTGACAAAAGTTGTCAGGTCCACATCGGTGCTGTGTGTAATAATGGAATTAAGAGGTTTAAATGATGATATATAATGGAGCACATGGGTCGGTAATGCGTGTCGGTATACGAATAATTATGCCACGTACGTTACAGCATAAACAGACGCAAAAGTGAGAGTAATTGCAGCGATATCAAAATGTTCACTGCCAAATGTGTTGAATTTCTGACTTGTATGTAGATAGGAACACGTCCATTTCGTAAATCAATCTTTATTCAATACAGATATGTCTGTATTCAGAGAGAGGTGCCAATGACTGACTGATTAAAAGTAACACATGAAACAAAAGCATAAATCTTCAGAGTGATGTCTTTACCATACTTATGGTGAATAACTCAATTTTTAATTAGGAGCACTTGTCCATAAAAAATTAACGTTAAAAATTAACAAGTAAAGTTTATGATGTGTCTGTCACAAATACGACACTATTTTGTCATATCATAGTCGCCCAATGTCTGCCAGGCAGGTCGTTGTCTGACGGTGCGGGTGTACCGAGGTATACATCCGTAAAAACTTCCTATTGCGGACTGTAACTCGTCCTGACCCGTCGACACGCACCACGTACTGGTCGTGTTGGCGGACCTCTATCACCTGTCCAGTTTTATCTCATTTCAGTGGGCTAGGGCCAGTTTGGTTCTGGATCATGACGTGGTTGCCAACTACAAGGGGTGGAAGTTGCTTTGTGTGTTCCATCCAACGTTCAGCAGCCCTCATATATGTCGGTTTCTTAATGCTTCCTCCGGGTCGCTCGCCGTAAATGTTTCTTTCCATGTGCTATGTAGTAGGTAACGACCCGAGAGGACAGGGATGAATTCCTTGATAGCTCTGCCAAAGACGCACATCGCAGGGGAGAGTTTGGTGTCTTGGTCTGGGCAATTTCGGTACTGCAGCATTGCACGTTGGAAGTTGTCTATGTCAAGTTCACCGTATGGTCCTGTGTTGTCAGTTATAAGTCGTTTGACAGTTTTTACTCCGACTTCTGCACGACAGTTGCTGTGGGGTAAGGCAACAGACGATAAGCGGTGATGAACATTTTCGGCGGGGTGGGTGAAGCGACTGCCTACCAGTGTTATTCTCCATCCAGTAGGACAACAAAACAATTCTGTCTTAGCGCAGGTGCAGTGCTTCTGGAAAAGCCAGAATCCTATTCCGACTTTGGACCAGTC